CTCGAGATTATTAAACATATTGTTGTTGTTGTCTACGGCTTTGTTTTGGATCCATTAGTCTACGAAATGCTAGTAATTCTATAACAGATAATAAAGTGTTTAGTGAAAATTATTGTGTTATATATTTATTTTTATCTTTTATTGAATTCCATATTACTTTCTTAAAGTTTCATGTTGTTTCAAATGTATGTACATCAACAGAGATGCAAAATGCCCTTACGTTATAAATCTGCGCTAACATCAGTTAAATTGTGTATTACTGTCTCTGGTGCCCACACACGAGCTGTTGCAATTCAAATTCTGTTCAGCAAAATTAATTACAAAGGTAATAAAATGCCTTCTCGTACATTACAATGTACGTGTAAAGCGTTGGTGTTAGGCCTATGCCCAACGCATAGCAAAAACTTCCAAGACGAAAAAATGTAGCAATTTGCATTGTATCACGACTTTCTTCACAGTCCAAGTATCTTGTGTGTGTTAGGATAAACAAATTGACACAAAAATATATTAAAATCTACCCACTCGCTTTTATTTTTCGTTTTGAGACGGACGTACAGCCGTACCACGTGACACGTTAAAAACCACATGTGGTTTCATAATGGCAAGTTACGAGTGATGAAAAGGCTGCGGTGGTCTATTATGTGCGTTACGTTTCTGTAAAATCCCACTGCCACAATCATTGAGAAAGACAACTTTGATTCAAATTCTATACACAAAAATGTGTTTGTGAAGTTTTCAGTTTTATGGGATGGAGTAGATAATACATGTGTACTGAAAGCGGTTATGGTTGTTCAACTCACTTATTCTGTTTCCTTTGACATTCACTTTTTTATCCAATTAAGGGGAAATGTCATTTGTTGCAACACAAATCGTCCCAGTGAAATAAGCAATACGTTTGAAGTTTATATATATATATATATATATATATATATATATAACCTTTATTGTGACCTTATCTGAATACAAGACGACGTATTTGTCATTATTTAGCCAGACCAATGCAATGAATTGAAGTGGAAAGAGTCACATTTACCAACCCCTGACAAACCTTTTGCATATGTCAACACCATGACAATTTTAAAGACATGCCCAACTTTGGAGCACCACGGCTTGATGCTTTTTTAACTGTGTGCTGACGCACCTTGATAATGGACTTGAAATTAGTCCATTCCGATTACTTTTCGACTGTCAAATGTCATTATCCCCTATAAAATTATACCGTATTAGTTGGTATAAATACAAGTTCCCTCTGAAATTTTCTCAAATAAGCCAAATCAGGTTTAAGTTTGCACTGCCAGGGGAAGAAATAACGGTTTGAAAAACTGCATGGAAAGATGAAGACTTTTTTTATTGTTGCCTTGTGTCTTAGCTTGCTGTTTGTGGGTAAGATTTACATGTGCAAGTATAACAACAAATTGCTTGATATCAAAATGGAAATGTTGCTTTTTATAAATTTATTTCTTTTTATGTAAGACATTATGTAAGAAAATGATATCAACTGCTCATTTTGGCGAGAAAAGTGGCATAATACGGATTTCCCTGGGGATAAAGACGGTTTTCCCATGCTTACCAATGGCAAACCAAAGTTCTTTTTATTCTATGTTTGTTCTGTGTAATAATCTCTATAAATAATATAACGGTGGATAGCTGTCTATTAGGATCCACGTTGTCCGATGGCAAGCACAAATTGCAGAAAATGACAATATCGTATTTCTGTTAGGTTTTACAATGTATGTATTGTGAAATATGAATCTCATACAAAGGGTTGCCATCCCTTTAAATTGTCGCCGGCACAATTTGTCGCCGGCACAAATTGTCGTCTTTCGGTGGCGACAAATTGTGTAGTCATTGATGGCACAAATTGTCGCCGACACAAATTGTCGTCCTTAGGTGGCGACAGACTGTGTAGGCATTGTCGGCACAATTTGTCGCCCTGCACAAATTGTCGCCAACTACAATAATGTTTACAATAACTTGTGTGCGTATATACAAATGAAGGGTTTGTTAGCAAAAGTAAATAAATCCAGTCCGACAAGTGACCCATTTGAATGAATGCGCCACCCTGCTGCTTTAGCACTATTTAATTAATGTTAAATAAATTAATTAATGTTCGTGCAACTTACTTATTTTTTCAGTCGTTCATGACTGTTTTCTGTCTAGTTGCTTATTTACTGACTTCATTTATGACTGATAAATGTCATCAGTCATGAGAAAATGCCTCTCGGAATGAACGCTGTGAGTGCCACAGGTGGTCTAGTGTCCATTTCGAGATCCATTCTCTCGTGACTGACGATATTCATCAGTCGTTTGTTATAGTAACAAAAATCTTTCTTTTTACTGAAAGTATAAATGCGACGCGGATCAGTTAGTCTCTTAGATTAATATCTAGCCACTCTTTCAAATAATACAGGGAGAGACTCACTATTTTATCTTTTTCATTTTCAGCAGCCGACGCAAAGCCACCTTTCTGTGGCAAAAACGCCGTATGCGTGAGGTTTGAACCGAACTTTCAGGTTCGATATGACGGCTCCTGTAAACTGCCAATGTGGGAATGTTTGTGCCTGCCAAACTATTATGGTGACCCGTACTACGAATGTTTTCAGATGCCTGATGGTAAAATTACTTAGGGAGTAAACTAACACGAAAATCAAAACTAACATCAAACATTTATCCCAATTAAGTCTTGACTGCGCAACTGAAATATTCTATGATATTGGTCTCTAACTTTATCCTAAAAAGTGCCCTCCCATTCTGTTTGTTTTGCGTGACAAACCAACTGTTGTTGCCCCTTCCGTATACCCAATCATTTCCACATCAATGTAGAAAATGGACCGCCACTGTTACCCTAGTAAATAGTTAGTGATTCAACGACATTCTTCACAGTTAAAATATATTCTAAGATAATCGAATTAAAATTAAGATAATACATGTAAAATTAAAATGTATCATTCCGTTTTATTTTTCAGAATAAAAAAGGAAGGAAAGCCATTTTAATGTGACACGGCCTTAACCACAGATACCAAAGCTTCATAGGGACAGAAGGCGGACTATAAAAAGATGATAGTGAGCTATTGGCTTAAAATGTCCTTAAAATCCCACTGCAATAACCATTTGGACACATTGTGTTATGCCAAGTATTAATTCACATCCTATACTATAATTCGTTCGTCATATGTGCGAATTTTGTCCTTACAGGGGACTGAAAGAAGCATAATAAGTAATAAAATATTCTCTTAAAACGAAAAGGGTGTTTGCTTTATTTATTCTATTCCTTATTTTTTAATAAAAAGATTTCATTTCACTGTTTACATTTTATTGTTGTATATCAAAAGAGATTATTGTTATTATAGCACAGGGGCATTTGGTTATGAATAAGTATGTAAAAATGAGAAAAATATACATGAAATAAAAGAGAAAAAGAAAAAATGAATAAACATAAATATTATAAAATATGCAAAATATAAGATGGTCCTTGCCAAGGATAGTACCCAGCTACTAGGAGTTAGGGGCTTTATGTTCAGTTTTTAGTAAAAGGAGTGTTGGGTAATATAAATACACCAATTATGAGCCCTTTTCTAATAATAATAATAATAATAATAATAATAATAATTTTATTTATTATATAACAAAAAGATGGATGCAACGGCTTACACTTAAGTTATTATATTTCTAAATGCCGATGTACAGGCGTTCAAATAATACTTTATTAAAATGATAAGCCCTCTCATGGGGCACAGACTCGGGTTTTATTACTTGATTTTGGAAAAGCGTTTGATTTAATAGACCACAATATATTGCTAGGCAAGCTCTGCAGCTATGGAGTACCTACAGTATTACTCAGATGGGTCCATGCCTTTTTACTTAATAGACAACAACGGATCAAGTGTGGATCAGTAATGTCACAATGGTGCCATATTCATGGTGCCCCAGGGTACAAAATTAGGACCTCTCCTTTTCATTACAATGATAAATGACATGGAATGCTTTTACCAGCAGTAAAGTATGTGGATGACACTACAGTTTATGAGACAGCTAGTTCACCAACCATCTCCAAGGGAAATAGAACAAGGTGCCAAACCTACACAATCTAAACTTCCAATAGCAGCCTCAATCCTATATGAATGGACAAAACAAAATAACATGCTAATTAATCCTAAAAAAAACTGTTGAACTGTTTATCTGTTTCAGTAAAAACCCAACTGTACCTGATAACCTAATAATTGATGGTATAAAATTTGAACAAGTTTCACATGCCAAACTGCTGGGAGTTCATATCAGTTCTAATTTGAAATGGGAGTTACAAATAGAAAAAATTCTCTCAAAAGCTGCATCCAGACTGTATTTCTTATGCATGGTCAAACACGCTGGGGTGCCGAGATATGACCTCTTACAAATTTATAAAAGCAATCTCAGCCCAACACTTGAGTACGTTTGTCAGCTATGGCATGCTGGAATTACCGCACAGCAATCTAAAGCCTTAGAGTACATCCAAAAAAGAGCTCTTCATATTATATACCCTGAACTCACTTACAACGAAGCAATGGACATCACTGAATTACCTACCTTGAAATCTGGGCGTACTGACTTGTGCAAAAAATTATTTAATGAAATAAAACTGTGTACACATAGATTAAACCATCTTTTACCTAACACTCGTGTCATAGAAAAGGACCTAAGGAATGTTTATAGATATGTTTTACCAAAATGTCGGACAAAAAGATATAGGAACACTTTTATCCCATACTGTTTATATACGTGTCAATGATCAAGGTCTATCAATGAACTTTTAGCTTTTGAAAAGAACAACGAATCACCATTTTTAACCTCATTATTGTTTTTATAATTTAGAATTTATCTTAAAGCTCTATTCTAATACTACATCTTTATACTGTTAGAAACTGCAAACATGTCTCATTCCAGACCATATGAAATATCTGTAAAGTGACAGAGAGTCCCTTGTGATAGAGAGTCCCTCACCCATTCATTGGTAAACCTATAGA